AGTAAAATGAGAGAGAGGAGAGATATAGAGAGAGAAAGAGAAAGAGAGGGAAAAGAAGAGAGAGAGAGAGAGGTGTCTGCCACAGAGGCAGACTGTGGAGAGGAAGAAGGATGGAAAGGAAACTGGAGACACTGGTGGTGAGAAATATGCACCAGTACAGAGACGGGTGTTGGAATATAGTATCACTAAGACTGGATTATGAACAACTTTGTGTATCTCACTTTGATTAAATAAAAACATATTACATTTCCACTTAAAAAGAAACATGAACACACACACACAAAGGTGCTGTGTTTAACTTTCTGCTTGTGTATGATGTGATATGGAAGATTAGTGAATGAGTGGAAAGAAGAATGGATAAAATATTTTCCTGCTATAAATGACTGCATGAAAAGTTGAGAGCAGGGATCATAATTAATCAAGTGGAATTGGTTTACTCTCAAGGAAATTTTATATGTAAGAGCTCAACTCAGGTCTCATACATTACTTGTTAAAGTTTAAGAGTGGTATCATAGATCAATCTATTCAAACAGATTACAGATAATTCAAAAAATTGACTCACATTATTCCATATTTCCCATTTTGCTTACTAATTTGAATAGAATTTTTGCAAAAATACTTAGAATATTTTTTGCAAAAATACTTAGAATTTTTTTTGCAAAAAGTTTCTGCTGTATTTTTTTCAGTTTCCTTCAGATTATATACTTGTTCTACATTAGAAACAATATAAAATAGTGTTACCATGTCATTTTAGGAGTTTGTGTGTGTGTATGTATGTATGCGTGTGTGCATGTGTGTGACAATCAAATGTGCATCTGAGGCGACTATTGCATCCCTGATCTTTCTAGTACCCCCACTGGTGGGTGGTATGTCTTGCTTTGTATAAAAACTGCTAACACAATACTTTACACAGAATGAAGCCTTAACATAATATGAAGCTTCCATGAAACTAGGTATTCATACATGTATTTTGTTGTTTGAACTGGTTACTACTTTTTAAGAGTAAACTACTTCTAATCGATTGTTAATTTATGCCACTGTGTTTATGCTCTACTTGTTACTTCAGTTGATGCTAAAAAAACATAAGAAAGTTTTTCTTGAGACTTTGTATTGGGGTCTTCTCCTGGGCTCTGTTAAGCTGTGCTCCCTAGTCCAGCAAGAGGCTGCCACACACGGCCAAGCTACCCTCCAGATAAGGGGACGGGTCCAGGAAAAAGAGCAAACCTTGCCACCACCACCTCCAAGGAATAAAAAATAAGCACACAAGCATAGTGGGTGTCCCGTAAAGTGTTCCAAGTTATTGAGCAAACAGCAAGCTGTATATAGGCTGGGCAAACAGGGAAGACATGCAAATGATCACGTGTAGACATGTGTTTTCTCACAGCTCTATAGATAGGATTACATTGTTTCATTATAGTTCTATAGATAGGGTTACATTGTTTCATTATAGTTCTAACGATAGGGTTACATTGTTTCATTATAGTTCTATAGATAGGGTTACATTGTTTCATTATAGTTCTAACGATAGGGTTGCATTGTTTCATTATAGTTCTATAGATAGGGTTGCATTGTTTCATTACAGTTCTATAGATAGGGTTATATTCTTCTTTTGATCGTAATGGATAGGCTGTCGCCTGCACATCTGCTGGATACATCCTGTCCCAGGGTCCTGTCCCATAGCAGCATTGACGTGTGATCATAACTATACGTTGCGACGGGTTTCTGAATGTTCTGGGAACATCCACCCAGGCCAAGCTCAGGGATTAGTGTGACCTCAAAGCAGATCAGAAGAGGCTTGTCTCCCAACAAGTTTGTTGAAAGACAAAGACTGAAAGGTGCTTAAATCAAGGGTTCTTGATCGAAGTCCCTTGACTGTAAGAAAACCAGAAGGAAAAGGCTGTGCATCGTAGGAGATCAAGCGGCATTACTCTTCCTATTTAGTAGATTCTCATAGCAGTTCTGCAATCCTGCTTGCTGTAACACTTGGGAAATATCCCTGAGAGGCCAGAGCAATAGTACACTGGGAAGGGTGTTTGCCTTGCGTGACCCAGCTTCTGTCTCCGCATCCCAGATGGTTCCATGGGCACCAAGAGCTATTCCCAAGCGCCTAACCAGGAGTAACCTCTGAACAACACTGGGTGTGCTGCCACCCCCCCCCCCGGCAAAAAAAAAAAAACCTCTCCAAATGCCCCGTTGATAAAATTATCCCCACTTGATAGCCTCTACTTAAGATCTCTACTAGTGCCATTAGACTGTATCAAAACCTCTAACAATCCATTCCAGGGTCGACAGATCCGGATAGATGATTGGGCTCCTTTCCTGAGGCCACCCTGTGTCTTGCTTATAAAGTTGATATTATTTTCATAGTTCATCTTATTATTATGGCAATGACTAACTTCTTTTCCCTGACAAGTATCAACTTTGGCCGTTGAAAATCATTCTGCAGTCTTACTTTCCACAATGATGTAAACTTGTGTTCTTAATACTTAGGGTCTTGATCAGAAAGGGATTAATCATGTCTGTCTCACAGTATTTGCATTTTAGGGTAATTACAGACTAATGAGCATGCCCTTTATGTGATATTTTAGTTCGCATACCTTTATAAATATTTCAGCTTTGTGATAATTAAGTAAATGGAACAGTATTAATTAGAAATGCAATCACTGGGTATAGTTTAAATATTTTAATGCAGTACCTTAAATGTCCTAATATTCTTTGAAAAATATTTTAAGATATTTTTCTTTTTAAAAAATCCAAAAGCAAATAAAAAACTTGATTGTTATAACTAGATACATGTGATATATTCGCTATACAACTGTTTCTATATCTCATTATACAAGTGCATACAGAATAAGTCTTTAGTAGAATCATTTTAAGAGAAATTGTTTTATTTATAAAATAATTCTGCAAATCTTAATCTTCACCATATCATGCAAATCTTAAAGAAAATTTTAAAATTTGTGGATTATAATTTTGTTAATGAATATTACCAATATGTTAAAATTTTTGATGAAAAATAATTCACTTGTTGTGAAGATTGCTATATTTTTTTATAAATTATTTTCTTAGTAACATTACAATCAACTTTTGAGAAGAAACTAAAATTTCTCTTTAACAAATTAGAATCTTGTATTTTTACTGTGTAATCAATTTTTTTACTATTATTTTCTTAGAATAAATAATACTACTAAATACCCCCCTCATTTAATACGTTAATGAGTGGAAGGACATATTTTTAAAAGGAGCTAATATATTTTGAAATTTAAAAATTCAGATTAGCATTGATGAGGGGCTTTGATCATTTATGATTTTTTATTCTTGAACTTTTCTTAAAAAATGTAATGAATCCCACTTTTCTTAGGATAAGATCTAGGATTTTAAAACAGCAAACGAGAACTGGACAGACAACCTAAGGTCTAAGTCATTTGCCTTGTATGCAGCTAAACCCTGTTCAACCCCTGGCATCGCACATTTCCTGAGCTCCAAGATCTAGCAGGACTGATTCCTCAGCCTTAATCTGGGGGATAAAGTCTGAATAGGGGTGTTCAGCCAATTTTGGGCCCAAGTCGTAAATTAAAATAATTTACAATAAATAAAGTTAAAGGCGAAGGCATTTAAGTTTATAAAGCCTCTTTGATTTTCATTAAAGCATCCGTTCCCTGCCCCTTCCCTCACTGTTTTTGCAGTGACTGGGTTACACCAACTCCCGCTGCACTGCCTAGCACATTTGTAGCTTCGATTGTCCCCAGGAGTTATACCCTAGGTTCAGCCCTGGCGTTCACAAATTCCGCATTCCTTTAGTCGTGGAAAAACACTTGTAAGTCCTTAAGTATTTTTACTTTTGCTTCTCTGTGAACATTGAAAACCCATTGTGGTTTCACATGATAGGATTTTTTTTCCATTATTAAAACTCTGAATATTGAAGAATAAAGATATCTTTGTAAGAGTTTGGTCCTTCAAAAATGTCCACAACTCCCTACAAACATTTCCAAATGTCATCAGTTTTAATCATTTGTGACAGGGCTTGTTAAGAATTTTTTTCTGTCCGTAACAGAGTTATTTCACAAGGAAAAAATATCGTATAGATGTGAGTCATCTTATTACTCATTGGCAAATTCAGTGCTCCTTGGTATCAGCTGAAGCTGAATCGAATTAGTCACTAGTGCATTTGTCAATTGGAGCCAGTAAGGCTGCCCTATTTAATTATAAAATAATTTGCACTGAGTAAATTACGGACATAACCACCAAAGAAATCATGTTACTTCACATTAGCAAGATCTATTTCTTTTAAAGTAACAAGATAATTATTGTCTCTTAAAAATGGCATTGCTTAATAATTTTTTAAATCATGTCCATATACATTTATAAAATTTGATATTATGAATGAGTTAAGGGTAATCAGGCTAAAAATGCTATGAAGAGCAATTATTATGAAGAAAATAAAAGCAGATTACAGTATAAACTCATGCTATATAATAATTTTGATAATTTCACTTAGCGTATGTTAAAATTAGCAGTCTGATTCATGACAGTTTCTGCCTGGGCAAAATTGGCTGTTAGATTCTTAGAAAAATGTAGCCAGTGTCATTATCCCAGTTACCGTAGGGAAAATTAAGGCTAAGAATATTTGAAAATTCACTGTATGTGTTACATTTAAGTGGTGGTACTCAGAAAATTTAAATTCAGGAAGAACGTTCTTTGTTCGATGCCATTAATTGTTCTTTTCCATGTGGAACAGAATCATCACTCTCGTCACTCTCTTACCGCTTCTGTTTGAGTGGACGCAGACTCAGTGGAGCTCAGAAATTACTCCTAGTTCTGCACACAGGGATCACTCCTGGCAGGCTTAGAGGATCATGTGGGGGTCATGGATGCAAATCAAGTTCTCTATGTGCGAAGCAAGTGCCCTATTCACTGTACTATTACTCCAGTCTCTCCTGATTTTTTTATGTAGATGAATGAATGCATTTGAATTACCATATTTTCTCTTTCTTCTGCAGTGCAAATTAGAATACCAGGCATGTGTCTTAAGAAAACAGATCTCGGTCAAATGTGAAGGTCCTTGCCCGTGTCCTTCAGATAAGTCAACAAGTACTAGAGCAAATGTAAAGAGAGGTAAGTGATGAAAATATACCTTTACTTTAACTCTCTTCAAATGTTTTGTAATCACTATTGTCCATAAAAATATACTCAGGCTAATAGTACTTATAAGTGAAGGATTTTTTTTTTAACCTCAAATCTTAGAGCAAGTTACCTACATAGTAATAGGGGGGCGCTGCTTTTCTTTATGTTCACCATCTACAAGAAAGCTAAAGCAATGCGGTCTGTGTCTTATTTTGCTTTAAATTTGTTGCATGGCTTTTGTTTTAAATCAAGTGACTGATAAGATAATGCTAGTATTTTAAAATACACATGTCTACCATATCTGTGTGCATAATTATTTGTGCGTATAAACTTTCCAACAGAATTTCACAAATTAATTTTTTTTCTTTCTTTTTATTGGCTTGATGTCTACTAAAATAATGAAATGAATTTATATATATCGGGGATGGAGTGATAGCACAGCGGTAGGGCGTTTGTCTTGCATGCAGCCAACATGGTCGACCCGAGTTCGGTTCCTCCGCCGCTCTCGGAGAGCCTGGCAAGCTACCAAGAGTATCGCGCCCGCACGGCAGAGCCTGGCAAGCTCCCCGTGACGTACTCGATATGCCAAACACAGTAACAACAAAGTCTCCAATGGAGACGTTACTGGGCCCGCTCGAGCAAATCGATGAACAGCGGGAGGACTGTGATACTGTGATACTGTGATATAAAATGGTATGTGTTATATAATTTGAACTCTTATAGCATTGTAGTATATGTAGGATTATTTATATATTAAGATACTGTTTCTGGCATTATTTTTATTGAAGTAGCATTGCATTATAACAATAAATGTTTCAGTTGTGCTTCATTATAAATGTCTATACTTGTTCTTAGAGTTTATTTCTATAGTTTACTATACCTTAAAAAAATTTTCCATGGCTGCTAAGTTTGGTCTTTGTGTTCTAAATCAAATGAAAATTTAGAGATTAGATATTTTTTGAAGTTAAAGACTACTGTGAAAAATACTATTAACACAATTTGCTATTTGTTTTATAACCATACGAATTTTGTTTTGGGGTTACCTGGTGATACTCACAGTTTACTCCTGGCTCTGTGCTCAGGGATTACTCCCAGTGAGTCCTGGACAACAAAATGAAGTACAGGGTATCAAACACTGGTCTACTAAGTAGAAGGCAAATGTCTTACCTGTTGTACTTTCTCCCTGGCCCCACCATCAAAAGGTTGGAGAGCTAGTACAGATGGCAGAATGCTGATCTCGCATATGACAGACCCGGGTTCAATCCCCGGCACTCCTTATGGTCCCCTGAGTCCCTCCAGGAGAGATTCCAGGGCACAGTTAGGTGTTCCTCCAGCACCTCTGCCTCACTAAAAGTCAGTTTAGGTCTTTCATTCAGAGAATTGATTTTTGCCTGCCTTGCATGCAGCTGACCCCGGTTCGATTCCTCCACCCCTCTCAGAGAACCTGGCAAACTACCGAGAGTATCTCACCCACACAGCAAAGCCTGGCATGCTTCCCGTGACATATTAGATACGCCAAAAACAGTAACAGCAAGTCTCACAATGGAGATGTTACCAGTGCCCACTCGAGCAAATCAATGAACAACAGGAAGACAGTGCTACAGTGCTTTTTTGAATAATGGGTAGATACATAGAAAGAAAAAAATGAAGTTGATTAACATAAGCAATGCATTTTTAAAGCTGGTCTATTTTATAATCCTTGCTACAGTCTTACTTGAATATCTTTTACATATAAACTTGGAAACCTAAATGATATCAGTCTACTCATTAAGCAATATTTAATATGATCATAAAAATTTAAACTGAATATGGCATCACCTTTAGTCAAGCAAACAGTTGATTTTATAATTCAGAGGTAAACAAATTGATAATCAACTTAATAGCTGTTTTCTTGTATATTAAACCATAAGTAGAGAGACACCAACTGGTGGAAGAAAGGGTTTGTTTATAAACTCTCACCCTTGCCTCATGCCAGAATGTCCTCTGGACACCTCACTCACATCTTCCTAATCCATTTTCTCCAGCATAACCTTGATCGGATTATTCAACCCCTATATATGTAAGCTGGCACAGCGGGTAGGGCATCTGCCTTGCACGTAGCCAACATGGCCGACCCGAGTTCGATTCCTCCGCCCCTCTCGGAGAGCCTGGCAAGCTACCGAGAGTATTTGATATGCCAGACACAGTAACAACGAAGTCTCCAATGGAGACGTTACTGGGCCCGCTCGAGCATATATGTAAGAATTTAGTACAGTTTTGGTTTTAACTGAAGTACTCCAATATTTCTGCATTCCCCATCTATTCTCCTTATTTACATAAATGAATACATTATCCTCTGAACATCACTTTAGGCATAAAGTCAATCCAGCCTTGGGTTCAATAGTCAAGTCTCATGTCTTTCACTGGAAGCTAGTAAAAACACTAGTTGAGAAGTCACAATACATGCATAGCTCTAACATATCATGACTTGTCCTCAAGATATTTCTTCAATCATTTTTCCTGCTTTAAAGTTTTGAATGGGAAGATCCATTTATTGTTGTACCAGTTTTGCAAAATCTCCTACAGACTGTGAGGGGAGCTCAGTAAGAATTACATGTGAAAGAGTACACATCTATGAAAAGAGTGAATAAACAATGTGAATAAACAATAATTATGTCATGTTGCTGAAGTTCAGCAGTATGTTGATTTTCTTAAAGAAAATTTTCTTAAAATTGTATCATCAAGGGACAAATCTCATTTGTGTTCAGTTGTGTGTAGAAAAAGAAGCTAAAGAGATTTAAACTAATCCTATTCTGATGAATTGTCGGGGCAAAGGAAGTACAGGATTTTGCTAGCTATTGTAGACAAGCAGTACTACAATATGAAATTGGGAATATCATTTCTACACATTTCAAAAGGCCAAGAGACTTGGGAAATGTAGAACTTAGCTCAGCATCACTTCTAATCTTTCAGCGATCATTTACATCGGAAGCATGGTTTCTGTAGATATTGCAGTGTGGGGAATTTTATTTAACAGCGTTCTTTGAAAATAATATTAAGAAGAAATACTTACAATGTAATACTTTCTAAATCTTTCTGACTTATGGAGCTGGAGAAATATTACAGCAGATAGGACATTTGCTTTACATGTGGCTGACCCAGTTTTGATCCTTGATACCTCATATATTGCCCCCAAGTCCAATCAGAGTGATCCCTGGGCACAGAGCCATGAGTAAGCCCTGAACACATGTGTGTGACCCCGAAAACAAACTCAGTGTGTGTGGCTCCCAAACAAATGAAAAAATAAATCTTTTTACTTCCTACAGGTGCAGTCGAATATTTCACATTATGGTGTTTTTCGCAATGTTTTAACCTGAAATAGCATTAAAATTACTTTTAACTGGTAAAACTATATTTTTAAATAATAGGAGAAATTAAGTACTCTTTCTGTACTACATATTCAATAATGAATATGGTTAAATTAGTTCTAAGTATATGCATTCAAGTAACACACATAAAGATAATTACTTGTTTATTTTTTGATTCTCAATTCTCACAGTATTACATAAATAGATAAGCATATCCCTCTTCAATTACAAGTTTAATCGCTTTATGTTTTTCAAATTTATATAATTTAAATCACAAAGATGATGTCTTGGGCCTTTCGGAACCTTCATAGGTTTTGGTTTTGGATTTTTATTTATTTATTTTTTGGCAGGGGGAGGGGGACCCCAGCATTGAGGTCCAACCATTGCTCAGGGGCAACTTCTGGCTCTGGACTGAGGAATCATTCCTGGTGGGCTCAGAAGACAATGTGGAGTGCCAGGGTTCAAACCCAGGTCGGCCTAATGCAAGGCAAGCACCTTTCACCCTGTCCTATCTGCCTGGTCCCCAATCCTCATAGGTTTCTCTTTTTTCATTAAATGTTGTTTGCTCACAAATCTAGGATTATCATTTAGAAAGTTAATAAACTTAATTAAAATAATATTGATGTTACAATTGATTTTTTGTTCTTGTTTTGGGACCAAATCTGGCACTGCTCAAGACTCACACTTTGCCTTTTATTTAGGAATCACTCCAGGTGGGGTTTGATAAACTATCAGCTATTTGAATCAACTCAGATCTGCAATGTGCTAGTTAAGCTTCCTTCCTGCTACACTATTTCCCTGGTCCTGGAGCTGATTTTAAAGGTCCATATTTTATTTAATTCAGTTAATATTTCATTTCATTTCATCTTTTCATCATCCTGTTATTCGTCGATTGCCTTGAGCAGGCCCCAGTAACGTCTCTTTCATCCTAGCCCTGAGATTATATTCAAGGCTCTTTAGGAGAATGAGATCCATCATTGTTACTGGTATTTGGCATATTCGGTATGCCACGGGGAGTTTGCCAGACTCTGCCCTGTGGGCAGGCTACATTCGATAGCCTGCAAGTTTGTCCAAAGTAGGAATGAGATAATAAGATGTCATAAAAAGATGTCCTGATAAGACGTCGCGCGGCCGCAAATGCGGCCACGCGGTTCCGGGAGCTGAATTTTATAGTCTCTGAGTCTTGGCCATTGATGGGATTACACGGCGCCAGGGGGCCAGGTGGTGGGTGTGACCCCCGCCTACTGGAATTTGGAGGACCTGGGTGGAGGATGCTCGACTCCAATCCGAGTAGGCTGGGAGATCTCAGTTAATATGACACTCAGAATTGAGAACTTTAACAATTAATAAATGATTTTTCACATATTTTAAATAGACATATGCAATGCAATTCTAAAATTCTAAAATTCTAGAAATTTGATGGACCAAGATTAAAAGCATTTGAAACTGACCTTGGAAAACTTTTATTTTGTAATTAATTAAAACTCAATGATGTAGTCTTCCTTAGAAAAAAAGGTTTCTACCCCACAGTGGTACAGGAGCGATAGCACAGTGTTAGGGTGTTTGCCTTGCATGCAGCCAACATGGCCGACCCGAGTTCGATTCCTCCGCCCCTCTCAGAGAGCCCGGCAAGCTACCGAGAGT